GAATTGAACTTCTCCTATAAGCAAATTAACTAATGTACTTTAGATTTTGGAGAAATTACATGGGAAGAGTTTCTATAAAAGTGAAGTACATTAGATGATTTTAGCTTATGGGAGAAACTAAGTTCATTTTAGTTTTATTTTCTTCTTCACTAATTGCTTATGAGAAAGTATAAAAATAGGGAACAGTGATAATTCTTTCAGTTGGATGGTGATTATTGTTAGTTATGGTTTACTTGTTTTTAGGTACTCGGACTTTTCAGTGGAAGAAATTAAGAGGATATTGTCAAAACCTAGAGAAGATTAAGTCAAAGACTGTGTTCTCCTGTTGGAGAATTCTCATATAAATACAAAGTAATTACAATTTGTTAAGCTGATTTTCAGCCCACTAAATAAGCTAAACTGCCATATATACATTTACTACGGCTAATTATCCTAATTAAGAGAATAATCATTACAAATAAATATATAATTGCATATCTTTTGCCATTCATTCTGTTGACATCCCCCCTCAAATTGATGCTGGTGAATCTACAAGCATCAATTTGCCAAGTAGAAAATTGTGACGTTGGCGTGGCAACGTTTTAGTGAAAATGTCAGCGATTTGAATAGATGTTGAAACATGTGGTAGATTGATGACTCTACGATCATACGCATCTCGAATAGAGTGACAATCGACCTCGATGTGTTTCGTCCGTTCATGGTAAACCGGATTTGATGCAATTTGTATGGCACTGGTGTTATCAGCATGCAGTGGAGTGGATTGAGCTTGAGACAATCCAAGCTCTGTAAGAAGACCACGTAGCCATATTATTTCAGAACAAGCAGCAGACATTGCGCGATATTCTGCTTCAGTGGATGACTTTTATACTGAATCTTGTTTCTTACATTTCCATGAAATAGGAGCATTCTCAAGGAACATACACCAGCCAGTAGTTGATCTCCTAGTGTCTGGACAGCCAGCCCAATCAACATCACTATATGCTTGGAGTTGAAGAGATGAATTTTTAGGAAAGAATAAACCACGCCTTGAGGTGCCAAGGAGATATTTAATGATATGTTGTACTGCTGAAAAATGGAAGTGTTGTGGAGATTGCATGAACTTACTAACGGTGTGTACAACAAAAGAAATATTCGGGCGAGTGATGGTCACATAGATAAGGCTACCAACTAGTTTTTGATATTGAGTGGGATCGTCAAGGTTCATTTTAGTTTTATTTTCTTCTTCAATAACTGCTTATGAGAAAGTATAAAAACAGGGAGTAGTGATAAGTGATAATTCTTTCAGTTGGATGGTGATTATTGTTAGTTATGGTTTACTTGTTTTTAGGTACTCGGACTTTTCAGTGGATGAAATTAAGAGGATATGTCCTTTTAAGCTAAATTTATTTTTGGTCCATCAAATTTTAAATTATTTTTTTTAGTCTATAATTTTTAAAAATCTTGTTTTAGTCCCTCAAGTGACTAACAACACATCTGAAAGTGAAAATTGGAACAGTTATGTAACATTAGCTGTATTTAATGTTATATTTTCACTAATAGAAACATTAGTATGTAAATTTTGTACGACAATATTTGACAAATTCCCTAAAAAAATTGAGTATAAGGACTAACAACATAATTTTTTGAAATTACAGATCAATTTTAAATTTGAGAGAGTAAAAATGGTCTAGAGGAGAAAAGGAGTCAAACATAGAAATTTGGGAGAGAAAGGAGCTCACCGACCCAGAGACCTTCTCTCTAAAAACTCACATTTTCCTGAAGGCCCCTAACCCCTATTTATATATTTTCGGATTGCCCCAGAACGGCCCGTACCGAGTTCGGAACGGCCCGTTCCGGGACTCATCCAGAACGGCCCGTTCTCCCTCCGGAATGACCCGTTCTCCATCCGGAACGGCCCGTTCTCCTTCCCAGAACGGTCCGTTCTCCTTCATTTTTGTAAGGCCAAATCAGTAGTTTGGAACGGCCCGTTCCAATTTGAGAACGGCCCGTTCTGGCTACTGGATCATTTTTTCATTTTTCATTTTTTTTCTACGTTACAGCGTCGGGTGTGAGCAAGGCAGAGAAATCCTTGCCTCAATGGCGCCAAGCATGAGTTGTGTGGCATTGTGTGTGGATTATTTTGAAAATACTTGTAGATTGGTGAACATAATTAGAATTGTTTAATCTATTGCATGTTGTATGTTGAATGATGATGATAGTTCTATGTATACTAATTTGAGATAATATATGTAGATTTCAGTATGTTGAAATTATTGATAAGCATTGATATGTTGTACTTGAATGATGTTGTTGGATCTCTATACGTATTGACCTGGGGTAATGCATATAGGTGATGTACGTTGAGGTGTTAATGCTAAAAATATTATGGGCATTAAAATATTTTGATTAACTTAGGATTAGAGAAGAGGATATTGATTTAAAAGTTGAATATCCCATGTAGGGAATATTATTGTGGCGCTTTGGGAGACTAGTTGTTGAAAATCCTCCTTATGTAGGTGTGAAACTCTTGGAGAAGATTTGTTTAGTCTTTTTTAGGTCTTTAGTCAATGTTGGAGTAAGGTATGAAAATGAGGGCTACAACCCTTAATTGATTACTGAAAAGGCTACATAGTTCCTCAAAGATAGTTAGTGGGCTAATTTCATAAGTGACTTGATAATGTCTATCCAGATCATTGTATGCATATACCCAACTATACTAGTCTTGACGGTGGAACCAAACTTTTCTAATTTAAGTAATGACACGCGAGAAAGCAAAGGAAAGGAATTGATATCCCAATTTAGTTGTCGATCTAGTGAACACATGAGGCATGAAAATGAGCAGGTTGGTTTAATAAGTCAAGTCACTTATACTACTCAAGTGTGTTAGGAAATCTTTGTAGGTGAATATGTGACGATACATCATTGTGATGTATGCATATGATTTGGTTTGAATTGTTGTTGTTCATATGCGTTGGGTGAATATCTTTTTGTATAATATGGTTGTGGTGCAAGTTTGAATTGCTTGGGTGTTGAACTTTCAAACATGTTGATGTTATGCTAATGATTATATGATGAGCCATGAGGTGTTGCTTGTTTGGTTTACATGTTAGTGTCTATAATATAATTATATTTCTTCTATATTTGTTATATGTTTGATCTTTTTTAGAAATCTAGTTTACACTTGCTTGTTTTTATTTGGTTGGAGTACAGTGATCATTCTTGAAATGAGACTAAAGTAGGGATAGTAAAGGTGTTCATGGATCAAGTTTTTGAAAAATTCAAACCGAACCTATCCATTTTATAAAAATGGATCAGTTTATTATAAAGTAGATCAATTCAAATTTTTAAAATATGGATCGATTTTTTTTTAAATTGTATTGATACAATGCAATTATCTATTTTATACACATAAATAGATTAATTTTTATAATAAAAAAAATCAAATTGAACTAATTTACTTTATAAAAGTAAATTGAATAATTGAATAATTTTGCAAAATGAATTAGTTTGAATTTATTCTCAAAACAAATTGGATTAAATGACATGGATCAATTTATTTATAGATCGAAATCGGTTTAAATTTTATTTTACAACCCTAAGGAATAGGTTTGAGATGTGTAATAAAAGGCCATCAGACAAATGACACCGCAATTAGTTGTTTTGACGATACTTTGTGCAACTTTTGCATAAATGTTTTACCAACTTAAATTATATATTTATATAGTTATTTTACATATACATGTTATATATTTTTTTTTAGTAAAAATAGGAAAGATTACAAAGATGATCGCAATAAGAATTGAACTTAGGTGTTCATGCTTCTAATTACCCAAACCCCTCCCCACTCAACCACTAGGCTAACCCTAGTGGTCTATATACATGTTATATAATATATATCAAGATATTTATAGATATATAATTCTAAATATTTATAGTGTTTCCGTGCTAGTTAATGATTCCAAATAGTATAATAATCATAATGTGTCATTACAATTCACCACTCGCATCGAACCTTCCGTTGGTAAGGAGAATGTGGTGAATATGCTACAATGTTCATGTTAAGCATGAAATTGCACGAAAGAACAACGTGCTATAAATATTAATATATTTACTATGCTCGCCGAAATACAATAAAACAGAAGGTAACTGTTCCTAAAGTGTGCTTTGCGCGACACGCCTTTCTTTTTCCATCTAAACTACTTTAAAAACTAAATTCAAATATACACCACTGAATTTTCAAATATACAATCACAAATTCCCGGTTTCTTTTACGTACCGTAACTCGCAATAAAGCGAGGCGGATTCTTTGCTGGTCCACAATAAAATAAAAAGGAAAACAAAAACGAGTTGACAAAGATAACCTACCTGAAATTTTGTATTTATCAATACGATAATCATTATCAACAGGCCATATCTGATACCTGGCCCAGACCAACAAGAACTGGACTATGAACAAACCGAAAAAGAGTTACCCTGTTTGGCAAATTTAATTTAGCGTATAATTTTCAGAATCCTCAGAAGAAAAATATAAAATTTGTAATAGAACTTGCAAATATAGCATTCTGTGATCCTGGATAAATAGCATAACAGATTATCTCCAGAAATATTCTGTTTTCAACAATGCTTTCAGAAAAACCTGGAGATACAGATTCACCAACATGAATAATAAAGTTTTAGTCTGATTATCAACTGATCATATTGATTACCAAGCCCAAAACTCTAAGAGCATCTCCAAGCAACCCCCCTTGCCACATCAGCCCATTTTCTCCTTTTTTCTTAAGTACCGAAGCTTGTACAAGAAATTTTGATAAAATTTAAGCAACTCAAATGGGCTGATGTGGCAAGCAACCCCCGTTGGAGATACTCTAACAGCTGATAAAATCGTAAAATCTTCATGTCCAATTACAAATATATTCTTAAGAAATCTAGAAATATCAAGAATGATGCAATCTGTTACGCAATGGGCCTGACTTACAGGATATAAGTAGTTCAGCATCGATAACAGAAGAGAAAGTAACGACTAACAGAATATAGAACTAACAATTTCTTCATTTCCATCCATTATATGACAAATTTGTTTTCATTTACAAAGCAGATAACAGGATAAACAATTTGAGTAATTTACTTTATCAGCTTCAAAAAAGGAGCTAAATCCTAACATCATGTATTGGTTACCTGTACCATCACCTACCCAAAAAAATTCCACCAAGATTATTAAATAACAGGAACACTCCCATTTGGTTGCTGCATTTTTCCCAGTGAATTTCCTACAAAAAGACAGCAACTAATTCTTATCAACAACTTATTCCCATAATCATCGTAGTGTAACTGTAAATTCAAAAATAACAAAACAAAAACAGAAAAAGAAAATGCATAACTACAAGTAAAACATGCTACATATAGTTAGAAACACTCTTTTGATGATTACTAAATTTCTCATTTCAGCATACAATAATTGGCTCATGCAGTTAGTATAAGAATAAAATAAAGACAACTCAATAACAATTAGATTACCTGTGTTGCTTGCAAAAGAATAAGACGCTGGAAGAAAGTTGCTTCTAGTCAAACCCACATGAGTGGCTGCAGACCTTGAAACATTATCAAGAAGAAACTGATTTGACAAGCCACTACTTGGCAGGCCTCCTGCTTTTAGCAAGCAAATTTCAGAGCTTTTTGCAAGAATATGATCAGATTTTTTAGCAGGCAGTTGGCTCTACGTTTGAAAAACAAAGAAAAGAATCAGAGTCAGTTTAGTTAGCATGGAACGAAGCTTTTCTTGGTAGGATTTGATTGGATCTATTTTTTCAAAAGAAAGAAATGATCAGAGTCAGTTTCATTAGCATGGAACTAAGATTTTCTTGGTGGGGAAGGGGGTTGATGGAAGGTATTTCCACCTAGCCTTCAGACAGAAAGTCATAGCCAGCCAGTAGAGTGTAAAGCCTAATTCCTCATAATTTCCATTTCTAACGATCAAAAGATTTAAAAAAATAATACCCGAGTAAATAACTTGCAACATAATAAATTATTACAGTCTGATATGTACATCTAGTATTCTGCATAACTTAGGTCACAAGACTCGACCTATAATTTAAATAGTCCACCATAAATAAGAGTAAAGAATATCACACATTCATACCTCATGCACATTGTCCATTTGATCAAATGAAGGGTCCTTCAGAGATGAATCATGGAATGCAACCATCTCTGCATGTGATGTCTTTGGACACACAACATCAGTACACAATTGCTCATTTAAGCCCTGGAAGTAAAGATGACGAAATCTGGCACGCAGTCGATTGGTCCTTTGTGAATAATATATCTTTGTAGCCAGGGGTGCAGGAAAATCTAATTCAACAAAAGAATGTGTTGTATCAACACCAAGTCGGATTAGAAACACACTTAAGTAACTGAAAAATTAAAGGAGATAAATGCCTGAGGAAAGGCATTCCAGTTAACCAGTTGCCAAAAGTTAATGACTTTTAATACACGAATTATATAATTTTTTAATACCATTCTTCATTATGTGCCGATGTTGCACAAGGACCTGCCCAAGGGCTTTATGGTTAGGATCTCCATGTTCTGAAATACTTCTTCCAAGCAAATCCTTGCCTAAATGGAATCCCGAAAAATAATTAGGTTATTCATTCCATGGCAAGGTCCCCTACTGCCAAAGAGCTAACAGAATATAATACAGTAAAAGCAATAGCAGAGTTGTCATTAATCAGACTCGATTTTAAAAAAAAAAGTGTTCACTGTTCTTTCCTACATATAAAAAGTCAACATGAACTCGACTACAAACAAAAAATGAAATAGAAGAGGACAAATTCCACTACTATTTTTAATATAAAAAGGATATAAAAAAAAACTTTGCTAGACTAAAATTTATCTGCCCTGGACAGCCACCAAAGGAGGCCCTTGGTTGGTTGTGTAAGAATATTGTGAAAAAATTACAAAGTATTTTCTCAATAAAATGTTCAATATCATTTGGTGTCCATATACATATAATTTTAGAAGTATGAAAAGAACTTCTACATTTGAACACAGTTTTCTTATTTGACGGATACATCTATGTTTTGTTTGGATGAGGGGTGAAATAGAAAGGAAAGAAATAGGAGATAATGAAATAGGGATGATAGAAATAGAGAAGAAATAAATACAATGAAAAAATTATGTTGTTTGGAAAGATAGAAATAGGAAGGAGATGAGAAAATATAACCTTTTAATATATTTTTTTTTTTCTGAACATAAATTTTTTTTTTAATTATATAACAAAATTTTAAAAATTAAACCAAAAAAGCTGAGAAAAAAGAGAGATCATTTCCCTCCCATTTCATTCCAATTTGGGGAGAAAATGTTTTCTGGTGTGATACCCAAAAATAACTTCCTCTCTCTTTCTCCCCTCAAACAAAATTAAAATTTAGTATTTCTATCATATCTCCCTGTTTCCTTCCACTTTATTTCTACTCAAACAAACAGGGTTATTAGAGGATTCTAACTTTGAGCATACACAGATGAAAAAATAGCTTGCATACAAATTTTAATTTATGAATGAATCCAGAGCTTTATTTAACTAACTCTTGATATTTATCAAATTGTAACTTTTGTGAAAAGGAATTTTTTAACAATTCATGCTACCTCTTGAATTTTGATTCATGTTTTGGCATTCAACGTGCCCACACTTGCACAGTAGGATGTCTGTGTTCTAGTGCATTTATAACAATGAAATATGATGAATTAAAATTGATAATTGAATTTTTACATCAAGAAAAGCATTTATTTTTTAAATGATAGTTCATTGACCAAAATCTAGTGGAAGAAACTCATCATGGTAAGTCCTGCAAGAACAAATGATCTCAGCACATAAAATTGCACACTTACAAGTGACTCCATCTGTGAAACTCACAGCTTTTGTCTCAGCAGATTCTGTTCCATGGCTTTCTAGTACAGGTAGATTTGTGCTTGCTATCCTGCAACCAACATAATAGATTGGGTATAGATTTATGAGGGACTGTCAAAGGCTACAAGATGAAATGGGAAGAAATATTGAATTTAAAACATGATTTTTTAACAAATATGTGCATTAACCTAATAGATGAGGTTTTCTAGTTAGTAATGATTAATCATAAATCAATATTTAATATAATCAGGGCAAGTCATACTAATCATAGTTTATCCTGTTTCAGAAAAGAGAAGGCATACTGGTCATATGGCAAGCATTCACTCTGAGCTCAAGCCTTTAAAATTGATTAAAAACTTCTTATTATCCCCGCAGTTTGCATATAGTTTTCCATTTAATATTATAATACTTGCAAATGGAGAGAAGAGAAATGGAAGTCTTATACAAGAAATACAAAATTTCAAATTCATTTTCTATTAATTATGAATTTATGATTATTAGCAAGCAAAGGCACCCCAAAATCACAAAAACATCAATATATTTTCTAGGGACAAAATTAATGACAATGATAACAAAATAACGATACTACAAGTTACAATATATATGTGCCCATCAGATGAACTAAGAAAGCATACAATTTATGACGTTTTGTTGGAGGATGCATTACAGAAGCTGGGTGATCTCTATTTCCAGGATTAATTCCAGTACCATCCATCAAAGATGCTGCATCTACACAAGTTGAGTGTCCCAAGGAAATTGGAAAAAATGAATCAAGTTTTTAAATTGATTGGCATAAGAGACATTGTATCTTATGTGATATACACCCAACCATGTTCCCAACAATATAGGTAAAAATGGATCATGTCTTATGCAATATTGCGAGAGGTTTTAAACAAAACCTCTGAGCCAATGAAAAAATACCTAACAAAACAAGAATAGAAAAAAATTTCCAGGATTGCAGATAAAATAATACGGGGAGGGACAAAATTTAATTGCATAAAGATCATAGTAAAAGGACAGCAGACTTGTTTGGTTGTTGGGGAGCGTCTGAGTGAAAGTCAAAAACACAAGAAGTGACAGAAATGGTAAACTAATAAATCAGATTAACACCACTTATTTGTTCAACAAATACTTGCAAGATAGATTCAATCTTATCAAAAATTAAAACAAGTAGCAATATTCGTAAAAGGAAATATACATCAACTTTCTTTGTGAGAATTCCACCAAATTAGAAAGAGGAAACTTGCAAAAACTTTGGGCTTTTACCTTTTACCTCATTGGAAAAGGGAATCACTCTGATTTGACTGTTCAAGTGGGATTGTGACAAAGCAGAGTCAATATTATCCATAGACTCGGACCTTCTCTGCTCCCCAACTGCAGAAGCTTTGTCTATGAGGGGTTATGAGGCACAAAATGAATATTACAACAACCTATCATCAGAATGTATTAAAAAAAAAAAACTACAAGAGTCCCTTTAAAGATGAAATCTCAATCAAGAAATCCAAAATACAATTTTAAAATAATGTGATTACTGATTATTATATATAGTATCTTTAAAAAGCAATCAGCAGAAGATTAAAGTACTGAATACTAAATTTAAAATATACCAAGTAAAAAAATCTGACACTGAGAATATAGTATAGTATCCAAACAGTATGTTTAACTGAATAATTAATTCCTATTTCAAGGATACGTGCACAAGAAGTTGCTAACTTTTTCTTTTCCTTCCTAGGAGGTTTTCGATTCCCAGTGCTGCCATCCGGCTCCAACGTAGCATGTTCTGTGAGCTTTAATGACCTACAAAGTTCTGGAAAAAAAAAAAGGAAAAAAAAGAGGGGAAACAAGGTTCAATATTAGTACCTTTATAAACAAAAGGAGACCAAAAACAGAAGTTGGCAGTAGACTAGCCAGCAACATATGCAGGTCAATGTGTAACTCAATAATTTGAAAATCAAGAGGATAATATAATGAGCAAAGGGTGTTCGCAGATTAGATTGGATCAGTTCTTTAAAGAGAAAAGACATTTGATCCAATCATTTCAGCTTTCTTAATTCATCATCTTGGCTTAAAATTTAAATTGAATTTGATCTAAACATAATAATAATAGTTTAAAATATCAGATATTTTATGTACAAGTCATTATATAGCTAATAATAGTATAAGTCTTCAAATATACTATTAAAAATAATTTACATAACTTGAAAATTATACTTATATACTAAAAACCATCTTCAATTAAATATATTTTTCATACATAAGTATGAGTTATGTAATAATTTTACAAATATATAAGAAATAAAAATGTAAACATGATTCATATTACAAATTTATATATAAAAATATATATGCATGTGTAAGTTTGGTTTAGATTGGTTTCTAAAATCAAATTTGAAATTTGATGCAATAAAAAAAATTGTTTTTTTGGTTTAATGGATTAGTTTACAGACACCCTGAGCATATAAAGCCACATGATAACTGGTTGTCAAACCTCAGATATCATACAAAAAGGACCAAAAGTTTTATAACAAATAGAAAAGAAGTCGTCAAACCTGCATGAGCAGCAAATTGACTGTCCTTGATTGGTTTCTTGCAAATGTTGCAGCATACCTCAAAAAGGATACCAAACAATCAGTTAAATGAATTGCTTTAGATTATATTTTTTAAGCAGCTAAGGCCTTCAGATGAAGAAATTTATAACATCTAAATCAATTCCCCAATTTAGAAACTCGATATAAAATGTATAAACTGTTTACAAACTGTGTCAGATGAGTTGCTGTGTGCCATTTATGATGAGTATGCCAGTAAGAAAGCAATTAATTATTCAGTAAAAAAGGAAGCAATAATTACTGTTTCCAAACTTAAGGTAACCTAAACTATAAGAAGCAATAACAGGCTATAAATATTATACCATAAAATATCCAATAACATTATGGTGATTCATTGAATTCATGCGAGCCCATGATACCAATAAAGAAACCACATGAAGGGTTAAGCAAGGTACTTGGGAAGAAACCCATACTAGTCCACTAACACACAAGGAAAAGTAGAAATGAAGCAAACCTTACCAGCTGCAACGTATCAGTCATGGGACTCTCACCATAGACATGCATATCTGTGATATAAAAATATGTGAAGCAGCATTTTAAGAATCCCCAAAAGAAAATGAAGATTGTAACCAGACAAAAAACAAGAAAAGGATTGCAACAACAACAAAGCCTTATCTCACTAAGTGACGTCAGCTACATGGATCACACAGTGCCCAATCAGCATGGTTAAAAAGTAAAGCTTCAAGAATATTATTGACCATGGAAAAGAAACGCAAATAAGGAATTATACTCAAGAAATTCAAATAAGGTAATAATAGATAGAAAGCTAAACCCAAAAAACAATAATCATGAAAATTAAAGATGCTTGTTCAAGCATTATATGCAGTTCCACATTGACAAACACTTATCCTAAAAAAATATATATATATATTTACATTTATTCATTTTCAGCATCTAACAATCATCATCTTCATTTTTTATCAATTGAAGTCAAGTAAAACCTAAATCCCATTGAACTAAACAAATCCACAAATCAAAGTTAAAAGGTTTGATTCACAATAAAGGGAAAAAAACCTTCTTCATGAAGCAAATTTGCATCATCTGCCTCGCGTAGTTCTCTACAAATATACTCAGCAGCCAACTTCTGACGGGCAAAGTCATCTTCCAAGCCATGTACAAACAAATGAAGTCCATTTAATTGGAAAAGAAAAATCCAGACTAAAAACAACAGGGACATTATTACTTACTGCGTGTATTATATATAGAAACAAGATCAATTAACACCCAATGTCAAACTTACTTCACCGGTTAATAACTTTTTAAGTAAAATATGCATTTAACCAATCCACCTGTTGAATTGAAACTTTATATAAAGTTGATTAAATTTGTAAACAATCATGCAAATCAAAGACTAATAAGTAGTTAAACATACTGCTTTATTTTAATAGAAAATATACTATTCAAAATATAAGAAAATGTCTATTCCTTGATAACATATGAAAATGTCCAAGTTATATAAAATTTTATATACATGATGAATTTTATATAGATCGATTAAAATTCCTTTTCTATAAAAAATTAATAAGTGGAAAAGTTTGACATGCATAACATGTTGGTAATAGGCACTATGGGTAGGGTGTGGTTGTACCTGCTACGGTCTGAGAGGAACTTCCAGCGGCCAGAAGCCTTGCCATGACTTCCATTCTCCCACTTCCCGGGGAACATACCATGGAGAGGCGAAAACAATGCACCAGCTGCAACAACGATGAAGGCGGAAATATTAAAAACGAAGGAGCAACAGACGAAATTGACGCAAGGAAGGGTGGGAATTGGCGAAATGCCGGAAAGGATCGTAAGCAGGGAAGGGGCTTACCTGGCGGAATCGGGAAGAAAGCGATGAGAACCCTAGAAATTAGGGAATCGGAATCGAATAGGGGAATGGAGATGATCGGAGAGCAATGGGTGTAGAGAAGAGTGGGGAGGAGCAAGGAGTGAGGTGGGCAATGGCGGAAGAGAAACCCTAGAAGACGAAGAGGGAGAAGAGGATTTACCTTTTCTTATATTTATTTAGTTTGGAAGGGAAAGGGAAGAATCTGTTTTCTCTCTCCTCTTCTCTCCTCAGCGGGGGAGAAGAGGGAGAAGAAGAGGCTTGTCACTTGTGGGAGCGACTTCAGCCCTGCGTCTGCGTCTGCGTCTGCGTCTGCGTCTGCGTGTGAAAATTGAAATGCCTTCTGCTGTTCTGCACCACACCACACTCCACTCTCCAACTCTACTGTACCATCAATTGCCACTTCCTTTTTTTATTACTCCACGCCATGCCTTTACCTTCCCTCCATCTAAATTATTACACTACTTACAAATTCAAAAAATAATCTCCAACTAATTTCTTTCTTACATCTCTCTTATTTTTTAATTATCTCCCTATAATTTTTTAGATTTTATTTTTTAAATATTTATAATTACAAAATTATATACCATATTTTATCCTAATAATATAATGATAAAATAAATTATACAAATACTAATTTACTTATTGCTTTTCAGACATATTCTAGACCATTGATAAATAAAATTTACTTGGGAACCTTCATAATAATTTTTCACTTATTTATATCATAACATACAAATTAAATATATTACGATTATACATACTTCATGTTGTTAAATAATAAGAAGAAAATTTAAAAATTCAATTTTTTTCTCCCTTAAACGTTCTAACAAATAGTAGTAATTTGTATTCTTTTAACTATAAATTGTTAGATTATGTTGAAAGGTACATATATACCTTATGCCTGACAGATATATTAATATTATAATTATCCAAAATTCTAAATGTTATTTTATCAATTATTATTAATTAGTATTAGTAATTTTGATATAGTTTAATATTTTATCTTTTTAGTAGCAATTTAATGATAAATATGGAAAATAAAATTAGTACATTATGATTTTTTTTTAAATTAATAAAATAAACTAAAATAGTTATTTATATGTATTCCGACCATAAGCAAGAGAGTAGTATTATTTTTTAATTTTTTTTGTAATGAGAGAGTAATATTATTTTCTCACTCGTTTTCTTATGACAATATATATTTTTCCTCTCACAGCCCCTTTTCTTAAAGCCAAATAAACCCACAAGATCTTTCCCTTCCCTCCTTTTTTCTCTTTTTTGTTAGTCTGACACCTTCCTTTATCCATCACCAAACCGTTGGACGAACTACACTTGAGTTATGAACAAGAATGTTTCGAAAATTACCTCGCTTCGCTTTGTCAATCAAGAAGCCTATAATTTTAGCTCCAAAAATCAGATGGCCGCATATTATTATGCTTCTCTTAATAGATGCAGTTCATTTTACAAGCATTTCAGAAAGGTTCTCACTTATCACATATTAACATTCGTCGAGTATAACCATCACAATTAACAACGAATTGTCCTCTATCGAATCATTAAGGAGAACACCATGATTTTGAAACTTCTGCTACTATACACATTTTCCCCCTTATGGATGAATATAATATCCCACGGCCATACTGACAAGAGAAACCACACAAACAAACAGAAATGGGAAGCCTCCCTGAGCTCTTCTCATCTTGATTTTCTTCTTCAACATCTCCTAATAAAGAAAATGAAAAAACAAGTGTCAAATAGTCATTCAGTAAGTAAAAATTAATTTCAAATATAGTTGCATTTCTTTCAAGCAACAGTGAGTGATGAAGCATTCCAAAGAAACCTCTCCTGGTTTGCGCTGCCAATCAATATCACAATTCCATCGACTAGATAACTATATTTCAGTATGATATATACCATAATTATTTTTTTCAATAAGACAGGAAAATGAAAATCTATTGTTCATTGAAAGGGTAGATAATTTGTTAGTCCCTACCAAGTTAATTGCCATATAGTTCTATTGTAGGAGACATTGTGTTGAAAAGTGTCCTGGAGATGATTCAAAAGTGTTTAGAGTTGTTTGTGATAACTTAAGCCTTTAGTATTGATTGCAACAACAAAAGCTATTCACCTTTTATGTTTAGATCTTAACGGGGTGAGATGATTGAAAAGAATCTACCAATTTATTGCTTGTTTATTCCCTACTTTTTATCATGCTCATTGGTACTGCCTCGACTGTTTCCATTCATGGTGCAAAAGGGGCTATTGAACATGAAAAATGGAATTCATGGAGTTGTTAATTATTTTTTTGCCATGGACGTGCCAATAGAAAGAGTACGTACCAACTCTTGCTTGAGCAATTCTTTTTCTCGTGTGTTCTTTTGCTTCTCTGCAATCAACTTCATGATGGTTTCTTCGGCCTGCAAAGATAATAATCAATTGTTGATTACTTCCATCTTTGAAGGTTTAAGAATATTAAAAGGCCAAATTACAATCCAAGGGACTTATTTAAGGAATTGAACCACATGCAACACTCAAACCAAGCCTGATTATACGTCTATCATCTGTGAATCCTGAAGAGGCTAGGGAAAAATACTTGTAAAGCCTAGAGAGGCTAGTCAAAGAATACTCACTACGAGCCTGAAGAGGCTGATTAAATAATACTAGCGCTGGTAAGTGAAGATGGCGGGACATGAGTGGTTAAGAATACTTGGACCAGGAGTGGTTATGACCTGGGTGGTCCATAATACTCACTACTAGCTAGAAGTGGCTGATAAGAATATACTAGCACTGATGAGTGAAGTTGGCAGGCCAGGAGTGGTCGAGAATACTTGGGGGACCAGAAGTGGTTTAAGAATACTAGAGCTGGTGAGCGAAGCTAGCCAACCAAGAGTGGTTGAGAATACTCGTGACCAGGAGTGGCCGTGACCTGGGTGGTCTAGAATACTCAAGACCTAGAGAGGTCAAGAATACTTGGACCAGGAGTGTTTTTGACCTGGGTGGTCCATAATACTCAATGTTAGCCTGAAGAGGCTGATAAGAAGATACTAGCGTTGATGAGTGAAGTCAACAGGCCAGAAGTGGTCAAAAATACTTTTGTATTGAATTTATCTAGTGGAACCCTTCAATTGAAGGAGACTAGACATAGCTTAGTTTGAGCGAACAGTATAAAAATACTTGCACTATTTTATTAACCTTTAAACGCACTTTCACGTAGTTAATTTAACCTACTGAAAAACTTCATCCAACGTTTATCATTTGTTACAACTATCTTCAGATTAAAACCACACATGTTTAAGTTATTATCATAAAGGACGACTTGTGGTTAAGAAGCATTTTCTTTAAGCAGACGATGAAATTCCCAGACGAAGAATCATTTTTGTTAAACCAAACCTGAGTAGTTTTTATTTAAAAATTACTAACATCATTTTACAGGATGAAAGAAAGTTTTCTTGAGAAAAGTTTTTAAATTACCTTTATTTACACACACACATTCAACCCCCCCTTCTGTGTGCTTCTTCGCTAACTTCATTGTGAATAGTGGACTTCAGACGCTTTTCAGTATTCTTCGTCTGTTCTATTTTTCTTGGTTTTAAACCCAACACAAAGGGTTACATTACCTATGACCTCAAAAATAGATCTATCACAGTTTCTAGAAATGTAATATTTTATGAGGATTGTTTTTCCTATATCAAAAATAATTCTCCTAATCCTTTGTTTATTTTACCTACATCGCATAGACCCGATTTAGTGTTTCATGATAATGCCACCAATTCTGCAGAACCTATACAATTTCCACAAACTGAACCTGTTTCCATTGATGAAAATTTTATTCCAAGAAGATCCTCTAGACAGTCATGTATACCAAGCAAGTATAAAGACTTTCAAGTTACGCTACCATCCTCAAGTGTAACCACTCACTCTTCGGGTAAACAATATCCTCTTCACACTGTTCTTTCCTATAGTAGATTATCACCATCTTATAAAAATGTTATTCTAGCTGTGAGTAAGTAAATTGAACCTAAGTCATATCATGAAGCTTCCAAACATCTTGATTGGATTCAAGCCATGAATGCAGAAATTCAGGCACTCGAATCAAATCACACTTGGGTTCTTACAGAGCTCCCTCTAAATAAAAGTTCCATTGGGTGTCGATGGGTGTATAAAATAAAACATAGAGCAGATGGTTCCATAGAAAGGTACAAGGCTAGACTAGTGGCCAAGGGATATACTCAGATAGAAGTACAAGACTATCTAGATACGTTTTCTCCAGTTGCAAAATTAACTACTGTTAGATTGTTGTTAGCTTTGGCTGCTACTCAACAATGGCATTTGAGGCAATTAGAAGTGAATAATGCTTTCCTACATGGAGATTTGCATGAAGAAACATATATGATTCTTCCACGAGGTATGTATCAAGATAAACAGGGGATGGTTTGTAAGTTACAAAAGTCACTATATGGTTTAAAGCAAGCTAGTAGGCAATGGCATGCTAGACTTTCAACTTTCTTGTCTTCTCATGGTTATACTCAATGTGATACAGATTATTCCTTATTTCTTAAGCATCACCAACAATCTTTTACTGTTATTTTGGTCTATGTAGATGATATTGTTCTTACAGGAAACGACTTGACAGAAATCAAAACCATTACCAATTTGCTTGATTTGGCTTTTAAAATCAAGGATCTTGGTGATCTCATGTTCTTCCTTGGTTTTGAAGTTTCTAGAACCAAGGCTGGCATTAATTTTTGCCAAAAGGAAATATGCTTTAGATATCCTTCGTGACACTAGAATGATTGGTTCTAAACCAGTGTCTACTCCAAATGATTACACCACCAAACTGCATCAACATTCTGGTTCTCCACTCTGTGACAGTGATGCCTCTTCCTATAGAAGGCTTATTGGAAGACTCATATACTTAACAAATACAAGACCTGACATCACATATGCAGTTCAAAATCTCAGCCAATTTGTTGCTCATCCCACAACTGCTCATCAACAAGCTGCCTCTCGAATACTCAGATATATCAAAAGTTCTCTAGGTGCTGGACTGATTTTTCCTGCCTCAAACACTTTGCAATTAAAGGCGTTTAGTGATTCAGATTGGGCAGGTTGCCTTGATACTCGAAGATCCATAACCGGTTATGCAGTGTATCTTGGATCCTCTTTGATCTCTTGGAAATCGAAGAAACAGGCCACAGTATCTAGAAGTTCTTCTAAGGCAGAATATCGGGCCATGGCTAGTGTCGTTTGTGAACTACAATGGCTCACTTACCTCTTACAAGATTTTCGTGTTTCATTCATTCAACCATCCACTTTATACTATGATAACAGATCTGCTCTTCATATAACTGCAAATCCAGTGTTCCATGAGCGCACCAAGCACATTGAGATTGATTGCCACATTGTAAGGGATAAAGCTTTGCAGGGACTTATCAAACTTCTCCCAATTTCTTCAGTAAATCAACTTGCTGACATATATACCAAACCTCTTTCTCCTGGAGCTTTTCAATTCTTGTATTCCAAGCTGGGAATGTCCAACATCTACTCCCAGCTTGAGGGGGGATCTTAGATATAATTTGTTTTAACCATAGATATAGTTTGTTAACAATATATACTTTCAGTTTTAATTTGACTCTCAATATAAAGAGGTAGATAACTTTGTAATTCAATTAACTCAAATTCATTTTGATAAAACAGTTTTTCTTCCAACTCTATCTTTTCTCATTCTTTCTATGGAAGGTCTGTTCATGAAGTCTCATAGGTTTTATGCAAATTCATTCATGAATTCTTATATGTTTGTTAGCTTTATTTTGAAAAAGTTTATCCAAACATGCCCTTATAAGAGAAGAACATTTGAGGAGAAAATGAATTGAACTTCTCCTATAAGCAAATTAACTAATGTACTTTAGATTTTGGAGAAATTACATGGGAAGAGTTTCTATAAAAGTGAAGTACATTAGATGATTTTAGCTTATGGGAGAAACTAAGTTCATTTTAGTTTTATTTTCTTCTTCACTAATTGCTTATGAGAAAGTATAAAAATAGGGAACAGTGATAATTCTTTCAGTTGGATGGTGATTATTGTTAGTTATGGTTTACTTGTTTTTAGGTACTCGGACTTTTCAGTGGAAGAAATTAAGAGGATATTGTCAAAACCTAGAGAAGATTAAGTCAAAGACTGTGTTCTCCTGTTGGAGAATTCTCATATAAATACAAAGTAATTACAATTTGTTAAGCTGATTTTCAGCCCACTAAATAAGCTAAACTGCCATATATACATTTACTACGGCTAATTATCCTAATTAAGAGAATAATCATTACAAATAAATATATAATTGCATATCTTTTGCCATTCATTCTGTTGACATCCCCCCTCAAATTGATGCTGGTGAATCTACAAGCATCAATTTGCCAAGTAGAAAATTGTGACGTTGGCGTGGCAACGTTTTAGTGAAAATGTCAGCAATTTGAATAGATGTTGAAACATGTGGTAGATTGATGACTCTACGATTATACGCATCTCGAATAGAGTGACAATCGACCTCGATGTGTTTCGTCCGTTCATGGTAAACCGGATTTGATGCAATTTGTATGGCACTGGTGTTATCAGCATGCAGTGGAGTGGATTGAGCTTGAGACAATCCAAGCTCTGTAAGAAGACCACGTAGCCATATTATTTCAGAACAAGCAGCAGACATTGCGCGATATTCTGCTTCAGTGGATGACTTTTATACTGAATCTTGTTTCTTACATTTCCATGAAATAGGAGCATTCTCAAGGAACATACACCAGCCAGTAGTTGATCTCCTAGTGTCTGGACAGCCAGCCCAATCAACATCACTATATGCTTGGAGTTGAAGAGATGAATTTTTAGGAAAGAATAAACCACGCCTTGAGGTGCCAAGGAGATATTTAATGATATGTTGTACTGCTGAAAAATGGAAGTGTTGTGGAGATTGCATGAACTTACTAACGGTGTGTACAACAAAAGAAATATTCGGGCGAGTGATGGTCACATAGATAAGGCTACCAACTAGTTTTTGATATTGAGTGGGATCGTCAAGAAGCTCTCCTTCATGTCGTCTATATTTAACATTAACTTCCATTGGAGTGTCAACAAGGGTAGCATTTGTGAGTCCAGCTAGTTGGACTAAATCTTGAATATATTTGTGCTGATTTATGAAAATGCCTTCAGGATGGTAATGCACCTCTAAACCCAAGAAATAATTGAGAAGACTTAACTCTTTCATGTGAAAAGTTGAATGCAGCATTTGTTGGGTTTTAGAAATCGGCCCCCCAGTATTGAAATCCTGGCTCCGTCCCTGTGCAGAGATAACATCTTTGTAAAGCAAAATGATACTGCATAAGCATTTTACAAGCTTATGCACTTGGCAATGGGCAATCATTTTGCTTGGCTTATATATGAGGATATATATATATATATATGAAGAGTGTTCAAACGATACTAGTGTGACTTTTATTAAGTATTATATCATTATATTAAATGTGAATTTTGAAAATTCAACCGTTAGATTAAAAGTTCATATTTTTTAAATCATATATGTCAAATTTTGTTAAAATTAAACAACAACTTAAAAGTAATCAAAGTGTTCATATTTTAGTATATTTTGAAATGTATATATTACGTTAATTTTGTTTTATGAGAATGAAATATCAAATCATCTTAGATTAATATAAAATTTGATATATATGATATAAGAGATATGAACTTTCAATCTAACTGTTGGATTTTCAAAATTCACATTTAATATAAAGTTATTGAGCAGCGTAACACTTAGTAAAAATTACACGGTGTCGTTTGAACCTCTTCTATATATATATATATATATATATATATGTGTGTGTGTGAGAGATATAGATTATTGATGTTATACTATAACTAACCAACTGACGGCAAACGAAACTTAAAACCAAAGTTACTGGTGATAACTGTTAATTTAAGTTAAGAAAAACTAACCTCTCTTAGCTTTGCATCCACTGCACTCAACCTGGAGTTCAACCCCTCTGAATCTTTAGCTAAAGTCAATTTGACAACATCATTCACTCCATTCATGTCACCCACCTTCTCAACACATCTTGGAACATTATCCTTATCCGCTTCATCCTCCATATCCTCCGCCGCTGCCTCAAGACGTTTTTCAACCTGACAAAAGGATGAAGAATATTGTCAAAGAACAATGCTTCCAGTTCACCAAAGAGACGTACATGTTCATAAACTTGTACTCATAAATTGAAAAACACAAACACAAGCAAAGCATGGACAGTGAGATCCTTAATGAGGGAGAAAAGTAATGACTGTTAGAGGGGGAGGCATTTGGTTGAAATGTGCATTGACAGGGGAAGAAGGTGGGCTAATGAGGAGGACCCTTAGCTTGGTTTCCTGGACACGGCTTCCATTATCTTTGAGAAACTGTGGAAGTGAAAAGCGAAGGAGTTAATTAATTAGTTAATTAGGAGATGTGATATGATATGAGTTACGAAGGTGACCATGTGAGAGGAGATTTGATCCTGGGTTGTTCCAGAGGGGACAACGGCGGTTTGAAGGAGGAACTTGTCTTTGCAGTTGAAATCGGGTGGGGCAGTGCGCTGAGCCTGCATAGTGACGGTGAAATGGCATGTTCCGTGAGGGTTGACAATGCCGAGGGTTGGCCTGACGCAGTATTTCTTGGGAGAGGTGGTCTTGACCTTGAAGGCAACATGGTGAGAGGCGTTGTTGGAGAGATGAAGCAAGCAGGAACTCTGTTTGTTGGGTTCAACTGAAAGAGAAAGAATTGCAGGAGATAGAAAGTGAGAAAAAGAAGTGGATGAGAGTGGAATGAGTTAATAATAACTTACAGACAAAGGTGAGTTGAGGAGGGTGAACGTGGAGAAGCTTGTGGTCCGTGGCCATGAGAAGAATGGAGAATGAGAATGCGGGAAAGGGAGAGAGAGAGAGAGAGAAAAAGGGGTAAGAGTTGGTGTTGGTTACGTGGGGAAGGAGGGTGTGGGACTGCGACTCACCACCGCTTCTAAAGGGTGAACTTTGTAATTCCGTTTTGTCCAAAGCAATGGTATTTTCGTTTACTAAACATGCCTTAAAAATGAAAAATAAGAGTTTAAGTCCTTCAAACAATAAATTAGTCCATAAAGTATAAGGCATTTTACTCTTTCTTAAGTATTAGTTAAAAATAAAATAAAGGATAATGTTGCAACAAATAAACACTTATATCCATGTTGATCCACGCTTAAGCAAGGTCAGGGGTTCGAATCCTGCCTTGTGTATGCAGTCGCGTTAAATCTTGGGGCCAGCTATCCCACCCTTTGAGGTGCCTCCAACGTAACGAGGAGATTAATCACTGCTGTCGGCGGTGGATACTCCAGGATCGAATCTAAAAAAATAAAAATAAATAAATAAACACTTATATATATATTATTTTGACAGTTTTGCTTTCTATTCATTATGAATGTGTTCATTTTACATTGGTGATAAATTTAAACTAAGTACTAAAAAGAAGTGAGAAGCCTAACGTTTAAAAGTATCCACTTTTTTATCTCTATCTTTATCTTTTTCTCACTTTTCTTTTTGTGATTGGAAAATGGTAGGACCCAAACTACACGTAACGAGAAAGAAAAGAAGGGAAGAAGGATGTCAAGCATTCCATATAGGATCATCAACAATCACACCACCCATTCACTGTTTATTGCTTTGGCTATATTGAATTAACTAGTATTTTAGTATTTTTTATATTATATAATTAAATTTTTTAATAAATTATATATAAATAAATATTATATTTAAAATTAGTATGCATAAATATATTTTTTTACTTAATATATATAAATATTTAAAATGTATAAATTATATTTTAGATTTATAATAAAAAAAATTATATTATATAAAAAATAATTTGTTATTGTTAATTTATTTTAAAATATTAACATTTAATTCATAAATAATCATGATAAATAAAAAAAATAAATTACATAAAAAATTATAAAAAATTACAATTAAGTAAAAGTTTCTAAAAATATTAGTTTCATATTTAATATATAAGAATTAATTAATTAATATTACATGATGATATTTAGTTTTTGCTGCTTGTAATATTAATTAAGTGGAGCAAAGGAGATCTAATGCAAAGTTTCTTCACTAGGTGTTCAAGAAGAAGAACTAATGCAAAGGAGTTTATCATTTGAGTGGTGATGGGAAGAGGATCAAGCAAAAATAAAAATGGGATGAAATAGTTTTTTGTTTTCTATAACAGATATGAAGAGAGACGTTGGAACAGATAAACTTAGATGGGGTGCCTTTTAGAACCATTGACGAGGAGGAAAATATGATGTTAATAATAAGAAGAAGGTTTGATGGTGGGAAAAATTAAAGTGTAGTATAGGATTGTGATGGGTGTAGGAGCCTCAAACCAGATGAGTATAATTTTAATTTTACTAATTTCTCTTGTTTCGTATGAAAACCTGATATTTAAAATAATTTTGGAAGCAAATTTAATGTTAATGGAGTGTATATTGTATGTTAAGGGTTTATTTGATTCCAAGAAAAAGAGAGGCAAGGGAATAATAGAGAAGATACAGATAACAATTTTAATTATATTATTTTTAAAATGTTTAATTTAATTATCTAAATTTCAAAAAATACTTAATATTATCATTTTATATAACTTTACTAACATTATTAATGTATATTTGAATTAAAAAGATAATATTAAACATTTTTTAAAATAATAAAACTAAATTAAATTTTAAAATAGTTAGGTTAATTAAAATACGTGCGTTCCTCCAAAAATAAAAGAAAATAGGTGTATTATACGGAACCATAAAATGGTATCGTAAAAGGCAGGTAAACTCCTTCGGTTGGTGTTGCGCATCGATTGTGCCGTTGGAACATAAAATCACGACGGGTCATTCTAAAATTATTATGGCTAAAACTCTATTTTGGTCCCTTATAATTTTTTTTTATTTTAATTTAGTCTTTCATTAATTTTTGGTCTTAAATTGGTCCTAAATTAATTAATTGGTTTCAATTTAGTCCCAAATTAATTAATTAGTTTCAATATGGGACTTCCGTCCAAATTATTTAAACGGAGTTAACTTTTGGCTACGTGGATGTCACGTAGATGCATACGTGGCATTCACGTAGATGAGAAAATTATTTTTAATGCAATTTGGACGGAAAGTCCCACATTGAAACCAATTAATTAATTTAGGACTAAATTAAAATCAATTAATTAGTTTGGGACCAAATTGAGACAAAAAATTAATGAGAGACTAAATTAAAACAAAAAAAAATTATAAAAGACTAAAATAGGGTTTTAGCCAATTATTATCGTACTGTGTATAAGAAAACCTTTTCACGCTATCTATCAAACGCCAATTTTACCATTATCGATATTCTCTTATTTCACAAACTTATCTCTCGTTGGAATTTTTAAACGTAGCTGAAACTTAAAAAACAAGCATTTTTATTTGAAACTTAATATAGAGTTAAATAATTGAAAAAAAATATTTAGTATAATTTAATTAATATAAAATTATATGAAAGAAATATTTATATGATTTTTATATATAATTAATTAATTAATTTTAATATAAATGACACAATGGCTTGTGCAGATTGGTGAGTTCAAATCCATTTATCCGACCAAAAAAAAAAAAACCTTTTTTTAATAATGTTGCGGGTTGCATCAATTGTCCCGTGGCGGAGGCTAGGTGGGCCAAGTCACTGTCGAATCATGATGCTTGGGCTGCTGCGTTCTTAAGTAAAAAGAGTTGTGCCCTGACGATCAACTATAGCTTTTGGCCTAGTAGTAAGCGATCCAACAAATAAGTACACCTTCTCTCTTTTTTAAAAACATTAATAATATTTTTTTAAAATGTTACATCTGTAATATTTAATTTAATACTTTTTTCTTTTTCTTACACTTTTTTTCTTTTCAGTTTTTCATGCATTTTTTTTTCTCTTTTTTACTTTTACCTATTTTAGTACGTAATTTTACTCTCTTCTCTCTTCCCTTCTTTCAATTTTTACAAACATTCAAGTTGTAAAATTGGTGTGTAACACAATTGTTAGCACAACTATCTTGACAGTGTCAAGAGTACTAAGCTAAACATGAATTTTTTTTCAAATATTTTTTCTCATTTTATACTTCAAGAAATCTTAATATTAAATTTAATATTTTAAAACATTAATTTTAGTATTCTGTAAAGTATTTTTCAGAATAATAAAATCAGTAATTTAAAAGTATTTTATGAAATTGAATTTCTTTTACATACTTTCATAACATTAAATTTACTTTTTCATAATGAAGTCAAAGAACTTTTCAAAATTATGTAAAACTAATATTTTAAAAAGTACTTTTCAAAGCTATATAAAAAACATAACTCTGGAAAAAAAAATTCGTAACACTAATTTCACTACTATGAGAAATACTTCTCAAAATATTAAAATTAATATTTTCTAGAAAGTGTTTTCTATAATTAAATTTAATATTATATTTTCTCACACCGTGAAAGGGAAGGAGGAAGTGTTTGAAGAAAAAAATATGTTTGTCACCTTGAACACTATTAAGAAAGTCGCATTTACTTACGTTGTTGCATACCAATTTTATGTCTCGAGTGTGTTTGAAAACTGAAAAAGGAGAAGAAAAAAAAGTAATAATGTGAAAACTAAAAGATGGGAGAGAGAGTAACGTAAAAATTGAAATAAGGAAAGAAGTGTATAAAAGAGAAAAAAAAATGCTAAATTGAATGTTAAATGTGTAAAATTAAAAAAAAATTAGTTTAAAAAGAAAAAAGAAAAAATGTACTCATAAAAAAAAAATGAAATACACGGTATAAAGACACATCGAGGTTAAAGGTGGGCAAGAAAACCACAACCCAACCCAAATCGACAAATCCCCAGAAAACGGACTTTTTTTTTTTAACGGTTTCAGACGAATTGTCAATGCTGGTTAAAATTTTGGGTAATGATGAGTTTAGATGAGTGAGTTCAATTTTAAAATTTGAAACCCATCAAACTCAATTTACTCTTAGTTAGTTTAAACTTCAAACCAAATAAAGCCCATAGATATATTTTTTTTTGCTCGTAATGGTCTTATAATGTTATAATTAAAATAAAACACTACAAATTGAATAACCAATGCAAAACTTAAGTTGATAATTAAAATTAAACTTTAATATGAATAAGAAATGAAAATAAAAAAAGTGGGTGTTTGCATTTTAGGCTATCAGAAATAAAAACTAAATTTAAAATTATCTAATTACATAATTATGATAGATTTTTGTTTTGAAAAATTTAAAAGTATGTTAAAAAATGTAAAGAATCCAAAAAAAAAAATTGATTGGACATATTTGAGTCAAAATCATTTTAATCCGATTTAACTTACCCGAAATTGTTCAATTTAGAACTCAGAATTTGAAGTAATGTTTAGCGAAAATAAGATTAAAATTATAACATGTGATTTAATTTGGATTAGACATTTTAGAAATGAGTTTACTCAATGTTCAATCCTAATTAGAGTTAATAGTATAGAACCCATCTAAAGAATTGTTGATAAATAAATTTACCCCCCTTGCAATTATTCCGCTAACACTTATGTATAAAGGTATATTCATAAGAAAGGTTGCCTAACAAATTAACATTAAGAAGTTTCACTTAATTCTAATTATTTAACTAGTCACTAAACATCAACAAATCTCATTAGAGAGAGTTGAGTGAGAAGAATTCAAATCTACACTCAAAAAAAGTGAAACTTTATACCAAATTCTTAGTCACTTGGGTCAACTCAATTTCACAAAATTAAGTTTTTATTTTTCACTACTTACTGTATTCAAACTCCTATCAAGAAATTTACAGCAACTCAAATACAATGCCACAATCCACTAAGGTAAATACTTTAACCCATTTGAAAAAAAATTGTCTTTCTTTGTCTCGGACCACTCAACCTGTTACTAGCATAAAAATTTACTGATAATTGTAATGTGCAAATTATATTATTTGCTTAGACTTATGCAATTGACGTTAACCGATGGTTATAATTTTTTGTGGGAGTAGTGTTTAGAAGAAGTAAATTAAATAAAAATAATAATAATGTATTTGGTGGGTGGAATGTGAGTGAATTAATCAACAAAATTGCAAAATTTGTGCTGAATGCCAACCGTCTTGCCGTCCAACACGAGTATAGCGATGTTTTGGAAACCTACCAAACTCATATACATTCAATAAATACATTAATAGCCTTTGCCCCCTTTGCTTACACACAAAATAATATTATTTTTTTTTAACATTATCGATGAGTCATATGGTGAAGAAAATAAAAGGTTCAAATATGAAATAGAACAAAGTCTGAATTGTTACAAGAAGGGTCACTAAATCTTTCAATGAATATTGCTATTTTGAACCTAAGAAAACAATGAAGATAGGATATGGACCTCCGCCCAATTACACACAAATGGAAATCACAATGCAAATTGGACCATTCTTATCACGTGCCTTTTCACCTATTAAACACATTTTAAATCATAAACATACACATTATACATGGAAAAAGTTTAGTAATATTTAACATTATTTTTTTACAATCTCATTCATTTACAAGCTGATGTGGATTTAATAAATTTATTGACTTTATAGAATAATAACTAACTTATTAATCATATAAAAATGTTTTTTAATTAATTGATAATATATATTTTTAACATAAACATCTAGTCATATACGGACATGGATGTAAAAATAATATATTTAACTAAGCTTAGTTTGACTTTGATTAATTGACACACACCGTTTCGAAATTAACAATCACTTATAGTGTCAGCCAAAAAAAACATACATAACAAAAAAAAAATTAGCAATTTAAAATGGTATAGGCTTAGTTAATTATGTTAATGCCATCATCTATTTAGTCAGTTTGTTTAATTTTATATATATATATATATATATATAAAAGTGCTTTCAAATACAATATTTTTTTTTAAAAGTACTTGTTTAAAAAAATTTCTTTTTAAATTTAAATAAATAAACTCGTTATCTTCGAATAGCATGAGGAATTTAGATGCCTCTTACTTCACCGGCCTGTAAAGAAATTATAAGCATAAACTCCAAATATATATATGTTTGAAAAATAAAAAGAGCGGAAATTAAATGAATTTATCTAACTTTTGTCAGTTTTGTGTATATGCGGCATGTATCACAACAACTTTTTTACATCTAATTTTCAACTTAATTTTATATATTATAAGAATAAAATATGTGTATTATTACTAATTTCACTCTCTTTAAATAATTTTATATATTATAAAAAAAATGTGTATTATCATGTTGGGAGCACCTTCTAGGTGTTGGCTTCAATCAGGGATCTTTGTCTTGCCTATATTGAACACATGATTAATAGTGCTAAATGTGAAGAGAAATAACTTCATTGGATTAGAATTTCGCCAAATGTGAGAAGAAATTCTCATTTATGTATATAGTTTGAGGTCGAATGTGGGACTTTGTTATGCTAGGCATGAAGGATTAGGGGTATTTGTCCCATCCACGTCGTGCATGAGTTGTGTGGCACTAGGCATGAGCGAGGTAGAGAGCTCATTGATTCAATGACATCAGATGTAGGTTGGATAACATTAGGTGCAGATTGCCTTATAAGAATGTATTGCTCGCATCATTAAATGAGAAACATGGATATATTAGATGAATCTATTGCATATTATATGTTGATAAGTGATAATTGGTCTATGTATATTGATATGAGATGATATATATATATGACTATATGGTTGAATAGTTGAGGTGTTTTTATATGTATAAGATGATTAATGTTGTTAGATCTATATCCATTACCTTGGGGTAATGCATATAGATGAATGTTGTTGAGGTGTGATGTTAATGATGCTTTAAGGCATTTAAGAATGATTTATTAACTTGTTGAGGTGTTGATGTTGAGAAAGCTATAAGCATTTAGACATGTTAATAAACTTAAAATTAGAGAATAAAATATTTTTTCAGTGTTAATTTACTATTAAAATTTTGGTTATTTAAGTGCATTTGAAACATTTTCTTAGTGTGTAATTGTCGAACGTAATTTTGTTGTGATTTTTGAAAAAAAATCAGTCATTGACTTGGCCGAACACTATTTAATAGAGATGAACATTACTTGTCATAAATGTTCTTTCGAGTTTAAGAATCGATAATATTTTAGCTTGGAGACCTATTTGATATAACCTTTATCATTAGTTTCTTTGTAACACTATTTATGTGTAATGACATGAACTTATTAAATCAACATGATATATTTGATTTGGTAGGTGGTGATGTGTTACTCAGTGATTTGGATGAAAAAAATGAAGAGTTTGGATGACAATCAATATTTTCTTATGACCAAATGTGATAAAGATGAACAATCAAATTACTAATAATTATATAATAAATTATTAAATGATACATTGTCTAAAAAAAATCAAATACAGTACTATCATATAAATTTAATAATTCACATTACTTAAGAAAATGATGTTATAAAAAAGTTAACAAAATTTAATTTAAAAAGAAGAAGTAAATTTTTAAAATAAAAAAAGAAGAAGAAGTAATTTGACGAATAATGAATTAATATTTGGTGAGTGAAGCAAAGCAAAGCAAAGAAAGGGAAATAGAGGGAAAGGACATGAAAGAGGAGAAAGCATCGAAGTTGAAAGGCAGGAAGGGAAAGAAACAGAAGAGGTTCCACGTGGCAATCCTCGAAAGTAACGAAGCGAAGTTGAACCAACCTTGGAATCAGAACCTTGACATCGCACTTATGGTTTTCCTATAAATACCATAACACATTGTCCCTTACTCCCATCATTTAAAGTTTCAACACTTGGTGCTCTCCGTCCCTCGATCCAGATCTCCAATGGCTTCCCTTTCGCAATCTCCCATGTCCCTCACATCTCTTTCCAATCAATCTCTGGTATATACAAATCTCCCTTCTCTTTCTACCGTTTCCTTTTCATCTTCTTTGCATGCCCAATGCCTTTATTTTTCCTTTTCCAGATATATTATTACATTCTAATCTATTCACCTTGAGACTTCCTTCACCATTCATCTTCCAATTGAAGGGCTCCGACTCTAATTTTCCTTTAAAACCCTACCTTTTTTTCATTATCTATTTTTATGCAAGTATGTTAGGTTTTTAGCAGCTAAATGCTCTTGGTACTGGCTTTTGAATATAATTTATTTCATATGAAAATCTGTTTTATTTGATTGTCCTAGTTTTGAATATATATTCTTAATTTTTAGTCGAATTGTCCTGCAACAACCGCATCCGCCCTTAGAAATAAATTACTAGCATTTCATTGCTTGTGAGTTGTGAGATTTTAGTTTTACATGGTATGGTAGCATCATGATGAATTTGGGATTGATTCTGTTATTTTTTGCTTTATGACTAAAAAGTATAAACTAAACGGCTCTTGTGTAATATTTTGTGGTGCTTCAAATTATATTCTTATATACTGCCTGCACTCATTCAGTTCTTGTTGGATTCGTAAATAGGTACCTCGTGCTAGTTTTTCCAACCCAAGTTCAGTTTCCCTTTCAATTAGGGGGAGAAATTTCCCATCCATTGCTTTGCAATCTAGAGGACGTCGGTTTCAATTCAGATGTGCGGTAAGATTTGCAGATAAAAACCCATATTTTACCATCGCCTAAAGTCATTGTCTCAGCCATGGGATCATGTAGCTTAAATTTACTCTGTCGCCTCTATCTTTAGTTTAACATTCTAAATGCTTAAATAAGTTTTGGATTGTGGAAAAATTACCTTTCAACTTTGGCTTCTGCTATTGAAATTTGCAGAATATCTTTTCATGTTTAATTAACACTGTTGCCGTATGCTCATAATTTTTTTATTATGTGCTTGGAATTATGGATATCCATAACCAAATGTTACCATACGTTATGCAGGCAAAACCAGAGACAGTGAAGAAGGTGTGTGAAATTGTCAAGAAGCAGTTGGCACTGCCAGAGGGTTCAACTGTTACTGGAGAGTCTAAATTTGCCGCACTTGGAGCTGATTCTCTTGACACGGTATTTTTGTATTCATCTATTTATTTACTGGCTTAAAAAGAAAAGAGTTAGGCTACAGTTCATACTGCTGATATAACTGGAAATACTTGGATCAATTTGTTCAACGTCAATGATAGACTACAATTGTTTTCCTTATAAGCTTGAAGTTGTCTATTTATTTCTCACCTTACTATTATCCTGTCCGTGATGGAAGGCCTCAGTTTGTTTAAGCAATTTAGTTCTCTTTTTCTGCGGTTGCTTAATTCCATTAGTCTATAATGTATATCATGGTTATATTCCCTCACCTCACCACACTCTACACCACTCTAGACTCAATTGGCATGGCGTGCTAAACTTTCGTTCTTGTATCGGAGAGATCAGAAGACAATATCTGTAGTTTATGTTTGATGATCTTTTACTTGATTAATGAATATTTCCTTTTCAATTTGTGCAGGTTGAGATTGTGATGGGACTTGAGGAGCAATTTGGTATCAGTGTGGAAGAAGAAAGCGCCCAGAGCATCACCACCGTTCAAGAAGCTGCTGATATGATTGATAAGCTCCTTGAAAGCAAGGCTTAAATTAGTAAAGAGGACATGCATGTCCATTTTGGAGTTTTCTGCTATTTTGGTAGAAGGGAGTTTAAATGTTTTAGTTTTTATCTTTGGTATTACAGTTTGATTGTTCTTCAAGTAACTGCTAGTTCTTTTGTGGTTGCATATGGATTGCTATAATAATAGTTTTAATTTTATAGAACTCGAGCCTTTCTGTTCCCATTGAATGATATTGGTCCTCAAAAAGAATAAAATCACTTCCGTCAGGTATTTCCATTATTTAGGCACTTCTTGTGTTCTTTACTTCAAAATACTTAAATATGCATGGCAACAAAAAATGTGTGAACGATCGCTACAGGCTTTTCGATGGCTGATTACATATCAAATAATTAGGTGGGGCAAAGCTTTTTGTGCTTGTAATTTGTCTTTGTTGAGAAATTAAACTAACCATTAACTAGTGGTTTCTGAATAGTTTTTTTATTGTATAAAATCTGAATAGGCTAGAAGTAAATATTTACTCTTTTCTTGAACCAAGTCTTGGTACATCTTAGCATCCTACTGAGACTATTGGAACAATTAAGGTGCAACTTTGTTAAGATTCAATATTATCACTGCCCTCTTCCCAAAAAAAAAAAAAAAAGTGATGTAAACTAGCTTTAACTTGTCTCTCTGTGACTGTATGTCAACTACTTAAATAGTGTGCAAGGAATGGCAGATTAAGCATTATAGGTATTTTACCAGAGAAAGGGAAGATATTAAATAACATCTTGTTATTGAATAGGATGGAAAAAGAGAAGGAAGGAGTCCTTGTTAGTGTCTGTCACAGTCTAAATCTAAGTTCCTTTTCTAAGTTAAGGATCGAAATCAAATGTTAATGATATGAAGCGCAGTAAAGAATCAATCAGTTAGACATGGGCTAGAACTTGTTATTTATTATTATTTTTGAGTACTTATTATTTAATTTTACTTTACATCTCTAACTTCTTAGCTTGGAGTTGGTGTAACAAAGATCTAATTCTCTTAAAACTAAGATTCATAGATTCCAAATTAAATCCATCCCTGTTAAAATAAAATAAAAAATACTTTATAATAAATATTTTTTTTAAAAAAAGAAAGAAAATAAGCACACACCAAAAACATTTGATTATATTACCGATATATATATGGGAATGAACTCCCTAAACAAATATGAACTACTAACAATATCCATTATCAAATATAAAAAAAAAAACTAACAATATCACAAAACTAGAAATATTAACATAATCTGAAGAACTTGCTGGGCTTAACATTGGATAAATTATTACATGATCTATGAACATTTTCATCATTCTCTACATGAGACATAGTCAAGTGTTGTTAATTATTTGTCGTAGATTAAATCATACAGAGATTAGTCAAAAGTAGTTGAAACTCGCTATAAAGCCGTGAGAGTTCTCTTGACATTCGGAATTGCGAGCAGGTTGAACTCCGATAGATGAAAATGCTCATCGAGAAGACAAAAAACGCAGAGTCCAAACTTCGTATGGCACATTTATATTCATTATTCAACTCTAACTGGAACGTATTATTCTCCTAAATTCACTCCTTATCATTATCTTTATTCTATCTCTCTCTTGTCTCGTGCAGTGCAAATAGGACTTATATTCAACTCAAAGAATCATCACTTACACAAACATAATTACCTTAATTTTTATTTTTAGTATCAAATACAATAACTTGTAAAATTCTGAAATATAACATTGCTACACAGTGGATTATATGGAGCTACACCCATCACAACAATCACTTGCATATAATAATACGATTGGAAACTGTCATTAGCCTAATTAGTATCTGTATTAAGGCCCCAAAAAGCAAAGGATATGCTTCAACTGGTGGTTCCGAGCTAAAATAATTAATCTCAACATTACCTAAACGTATAAGAAATAATTTTATATGTTTTCAACTACATATTTATAATATCAAGTCCTCAAAAAATAAATAAATAAATAAATAAAAAATAATATATATATATATATATATATTCTCAAACGATGAAATATTATTATAGATATAATTTTTAAAGTAATTATTATAAAATTAATATTTATCATATTTGACAATATGACAAAAAAAATGTTTACATTGTCTATTTATTGACTATTTTCTTAATAAAAATTGTAATAATTCATATTCAGGAGTATTTTGTCACTCTAACGTATATGTTACCTTTTTATTCCATCCATTTTTATTTGAATTTTTTTTAATTAAAGTCATAGTTATCAAGGAATTCTAGCCTGATTGATTGAAAGATGCGTGTATGTTATAAATCTCTTTAATATTTTGTTTGATTTAAGGTCATAATTTAGAAGGAAAAAAATTAATTATACAAGATTGATGATTGATACTACCTACAAATACATATATTTGTACATTACAATTTTTTTTTTCTTAAATACAATATTTTACAATTTTTTGCGCAGAGTCCATAGATCTTTTAGACTTCAATATGCAAATAGAACTTCGAGTATCAATATGGATTTCAGAACGAAACATTGACTAACGCTAAATATTTTACGCACTACTAATAAATTTGGGAGTCCATGTCTTGTGTAACAACATTCACTAGCAGAGGACATCTCGGGCATCGAGTAGAACGAACATGAAGACATTTTTTCAAAGACCATGTGTATTGTTTAAGAGGACACGAAAAAATTATGTTGGAGTCGTGTAAAATCTTATACGTGTTTAGGAAGATGTGAAAATTAAATTATTTTAATAATTAATTATAAGTATAATCAATTGTTGTTATAGTTGATTATAATCATAATATATTTTTGTTTAGATGAATTTGTTGAAAAACAACAACAAAAAAATTAACTTTTATGAATTTATATCTAAATATGTTCTAAATAAATTAGCTTTAAGAGAAAAAAAAAAAGCAATTGAAAAAATATTCATAAGCTTCAAAGTTTTATATTCATAAAAAAAAACTGGTTATAAATTAAAAACCGTTGTCTCAAGCAACAAACTTATTTTACAAAGTTTTTTTTTTTCAATAAAAAACAATTGAAACTCGGGAGAAAAAAGCTTTCCCAAACGCACAGTATATATCTACAATTCAAATTTAATATCACTTGGTTAAGTCACGTTAGTTGATCTACTGTGAATAGTGGTGGTCATACAATACATTGTACACTAAATATGATATCCAAGGAATAAGACAGCAAAACCAGACAAGACAGGATTACCTAAACACTATATTATTGAAATTTGTCACTTGATTTGGCAGCATGTAATCGATAATTGGAGGAAAAACAATAAGAAAACGCCTGATTCCTGCTGATTACGTGTTTGTCACGTGCACTTCAGTTGCAAGTTGCAACTTGGAACATATTGGCACTTGCTCAAAACATGTACCGTCACCTAAATTGATTACATGCAAACATGACAGCCGGAATCAAATAAATCTTACATTTTGATCTGAACGAGCGTTACAGCTATACGCAAAGTGAAGCTGGAAATGCAAAAAGGCTCCTAAAAGGTTCAATCATAGGCCTCTGATTGGAAAGATAAAGGATCATTTAACATAATGGGAAAACAAACCAAACAAAAAAGGGCTAACCTCAATAATTACACCTGGTAAATCAACAGTAGAATTATGAAAAAGAAAAATGATACTGTTGGGAAAGTTATAACTTATTCTCAAGCTAATCAAGAAAGAAACAGGGGGTTTATTATATTATCATATGCTACAAGGTAAGAATGAAAAATTAACATACAAGAAAGAGAATCTAGTCTACAATAATCGGAATCTGCCATATCCCAAATCACTCATACTCTCATATACTGCAAAGACCAATATGCTGCTAAACCTGCAAAAGCAGTAGTGGCTAGGTTACCAACTAGAGTTCTAGGAGCATTGGAGGAAGCCTGCATTGATCCAAATGGAGAAAAAGCAGAAAGTGGTCCAGGAGCGATCATGTCATCTGGGTTTGGAGGGCTTGGATTGGAGGGAATGGTGGGAATGTCAGAGCCAGCAGGAGTTGGCAACACACCACCAGGGGAAGGCAACAGTGGAGCAATGTCTGGGGACAACTCTTGGAAAGGGGACAGTGAAGATGGAGGAGGATCTGTTAATGTTGCTGGTGAAGATGAGAGTGTGGGAACTTTGGGAATAGGCTGTAAATATGATGAAAGAAGAAATGAGGGCATGAAAGCCATGATGATCATGAGTCTTAGATAAACAATGTATGATGCTATTCTCATCGTGAAGAATATCCAAGTTACACTGCCTGAAAATGGATATAATTGTTTGAGGGTTTTTCTGAGGGAGATGAAGATGTGTGAGCAATTAGTGGAAATAATGATGGCGAGCCTTTAAATCGTCAGGCCCTTAAGGTCTGCAGGTTCTCGTTTCTCTCTCAACTCCTATCTAAGACTATAGGTGGGTCAGATGGGATACCACGTGGCAAGAGTGTATTGGATGATGACAAGGAAACATAGTTTTTAACCTTGAGGAAGAGACAAAGATTGGAAAAGGCTTCCATGTGATGCGTTTGGTGAGAGAGAATCCTTTTCGCCCCGTGATATTTGGTGCCCTACAGCTCTTTATTTTCTGTTGATTCTTAAAGCTAATTTGTTAATTATAGCAAACAAGAAAACTGACTGTAGTCTTGCTTTACAAATTGCATAATCATAGTGCTTCGTCTTTCAAGGGTGATTTAAAAATACCCGGCAAAGAAAAAACAGAACTAGGATGATGCAAATTTTACTGCGTATTTCTTACTCCTACGAAATGAGATGTATGACATGACTTCATGCGACTATTTTGCATGGCGCATCAAGTCAAATTTTTAACGCTAGGTTGTCTCGTGACGAACATTCCTATTAGCATAAAGGAGGCTAGGCTGGAAATTTTTGTTGCTTTAGCAGTATTATTGTCTTATTGAAATGATTCTTCTTACATAGCTGACAATCTGTCTTTGGATGTTAATGTAATGAGGTACCAATCAAATAGGAATCTTAATCATATTCATGCAGTTTCATTTTAGTGTTTTTTACGCAGTTTTATAATTGTGCCCTATATACGTTGCTTCTTTATGTGTTTAACTGATTGAAAGGAGTCTAAGCTTGGGAAATTTCCATCTCAATCATGTTAATTTTCTATTACATAGATATTAAAAAAATGGAGCGAAAATTCTAGCTTAATCAATTTAAGGAAAAACCTTGGAGATGAAAAAATTAGTTGACTTATATTTTAATGTTCACGAAGATATAAAGTACACATACTTTACATAGAAATACAGTGAAGCCTGGGTGGAATTCACCAAATTGATCAACCTTTATCTGGAATTTAATAAGACCTGAAATAAGGGTAAACGGTGAACTACAGAAGTTACAGATTCTAATGAGAGGAACAGGGCACAAAATGAAACCTACAATTATTCAAATGCAGCGAGGAAGCCGCTGCAATTCCATGGCTGCCAGCCCAGCTGTTTTGGCTAAAGCTGGTACACCTGAACTTTTGAGTTCAGAAACTATGACTTCAATTCTTGAAATCTCTGGTATGGATATTGATAATATCATTGCATGCAGCAAGTATTGTTTGCAAGCATAACCTAAAGCATGAAGCATTCGCTGCACCATCAAGTGAGGAATGCCTCTATTCCAGGTCTCTAGGATCACAGTGACCTTGGGGAGATTGGTTAGTATACCAGTGGTGGCTTCTCTAGGTGCTGCCTTGAGCAGTAATACGACACATTCAGAAGCCATATCAGCAATGGTGGTTTCTGTGGAGGCACTCAACTCAAGCAAAATACTAACATTGCTTCCAAAGTCTGCTATATCTTTTATGCATTGTTGGGGATCAATAGCACCACCACTCAACTCGGGAGGACACTTACCTAAGAGAGTTGGTTCTGTTGTGTAGCTGAAGCCTTTGGTACAGCTGACTGAACGTGCTAGAAAAGCCCTACACAGCCCAAGAGTTGGTTCCAGCAAATCGTCCATACCCTTTGCATATACAAACTCAAGAAAGTTGCCAATCCTCCTAACCACTTTCAAATGAGAGAGTATTTTGGACTCCATCTCAGGAGCTGAAGCCAGAGCAAGACACAGCTTAACATTATTCACATTTGCATTTGAGAGATCACCAAGCAAGAACTCAAAGCATTGTGAAATTGTCTTCAGATGAAGAATGTCCGGAATTGTGATGAAACTGAACTCCAGTAGCATGACAAGAAGCTTCTGTGCATAGATAGGAATAGGATCTTCATCTTCAATCAAGGTCGGGTAGAGAGGAAGAAAACGGGTATTTGATATGAATTTCAGATCCTTCAATCTTTGCTCTTCTTCAATTGGTTCACTCAAAAGTACAATCATCACATCAAAAAGAATTTTAAGGCACAAAAATCTGGCATCACCATCCTTGTTACCCTTGTAGAGAACTGTCAAACTCGGGAGGATTTCACGTATGAAAATGTCAGGATTGCCAAGAATCACAGGAGATTCCTCTGTGAGAGACTCGAAAATTCGAAGAAGGGTTATTTGGAAGTCATCTCTTCCCTGAAATACAATCAATGAAGACAATGATATCAAATACTAATTGTTACCTAAAAGTGAACCTGGTTTTGCTGAAAGTGCCATTTGTCATGCAACTAATTGTATGATCCAATCAACGGTAATCAGTGAAATAATTGATGAAGGACCGAAGGAGAGAGATTAAGTAGCCAAACAATATGTGAAAACTAGGCAGGCCATGAATAAAATACAATTGCTCATTATAATTAAGTTAAAACCTAAAATTAAGCTAAATCAAACATACACTATCTATCAAGGGAAAAATTACCATTTAATGTTGTTAATTACTCAATGTGAACAAATAAGATTCAATAACAAGTAATTCTTCACAAATTTCTTCTTTAAGTTCATAAATCTGATACAAAACTTCATTTACAACTATCACCTGCTCAACTAGAGCAAATAAACATTCTACTGAAAAAAAAAATTATAATCATTCTCCCTGAGCATGAAGTTGAGATTCAATACACCACTTTACTTTTATTGACTGATCTGATAAAAAAGAATTACACCTCTTTATCATATAAAATAAAATCTAAGATGACACCATTTTTTAATGATTCATGGTAATAAATAACAGCTTTTTAATAAGAATTTTCATTGCACATTTTCTGGAAGCCATTTTTTTTTTAACTTTTAAAGAAAAATACTATGCTAATTTTCATAATTTTTTTAGGACATTTTTATTAAAATTATTTTTTATCTATAAAAAACAAACAATTGGCCTTAAACTTTTAAACTGCCTTATGATCAATTATTTATTCTTGGCGGACATCCTTAGACATTAATTTTCCGTAAACCAAGTTCTTAATCAAAAAACTATCTCATGTTTTCAAAAATTCATTGGTATCTATCTAGCGACTATATCTTGTCACACTTGATATCTAAAGAAATTTAGCAGATCCACTATGCTAGAGACATATTCTTTCAACACATTTAAAATTATTATTAAGTGACATTCAGGCAGAATTTACTAAATAAAAGTAAGACGCACGAAATAACCCCTAGGACTTATTTAGTTGCGTAAAATCCACTCGATAATAAAAAGAAAACTAGTTACAAAAAGTATAGAAAAGGTGCTAGCATTTCTCTTAGAAGGACAGAAGATACAACGGCTGAGCCATATACCTGAAACGGTGTCTCCACGAGTTTGATTAGATTCGCTAACTGCCGTAAGACTTGTGGTGTCACGACTTTGTGCTTAAATGTTGAACTTCCAAGAAGATGAAGGACAACGGGAAACAAATGGATGTTGGTTTTTGAAGCAGATCTGCTGGCAAGGGCAGAGATGTGTCCGTGGCGCCTTGCTCCCATCATTTGCTGGACATCCCCTGTTATTATATCCAGTAAGCCAGGAATACTGGATGCCACAATAGGCACAAATGCATCCAAACATTGCCTCACATAGGCATCCTTCTCTTTTCCCAGCCTGTCTACCACAGAAAGTAACTTTTGGCTACAAAAAAAGTGTGGAAGCCACCTCCTGCCATGTTTACACAGGAGAGCCACAAGGACTAGTGCCTTTCCTCTTAAAACTTCAGTACCTTGCTCGACAAGAGCCAAAAGACTTGGGATCAGATTTTTATCCTCAGCGAGTGGTAGAAGATATCTTCCAATATTTGTGAACGTGTTTCCAAGGATTGCCATGTTAAGAAGATTTAAGCTGATTTGTTGCTCTCGTGGACTGCCCTTGACAAGAGCAGAAGCTAGATCCTTGAATGAGAGTTTCTCTATAACCGACTGAATGCTAGGAGGATTAAAACGGACTAAGCGCACCAAACATGATCCTGCAGTGAGCCTCATACTCTCTTGTTTCCCTGCCGCTCTATAGATATAGCAGAGATTACTAATAACATCTTGACTGGTCAAACGCCCTACCCAGAACCCTCCTTGACTGCAAATATTCTCAATTGTTCTCAATGCATACAATTGAGTTATATCATCCTCACCCTTTCTCAATATTGATGACACAAATGATATTAATGAATTTGGAACCTGCAACCAGTTGGAAATAATTGAAACATGAAAAATGTGCACTTAGAAAGCAGGCGAACAAAGTTTAAAGGGCTGACAGGAGGGGACAAATTTGACTAATGACTACAAATACATTACCATAATGCAAGCAACGTGTCTAGAAAATTTTCAATTCTTGTATACCAATATTAGGGATGTCAAGCTTCAAATGACCTAGGGAGGTGGACAACAAACATAATATGCAACAAGCTCGGAAGCTAACCTGCCAGCCATACGTAGTCCTATTGTCCTTTGATGGAGATTCAAGTTGACTGTTATCCTTGCCATCCGCATTTTGAGTGGATATATAAAATAGTAACTCACCCAAAGCAGCCATGGAGAATCTCCTCACCTTTTCCTGCCTATCTCTAAGACCATCAGTCAGCGCACCTAAAATTCCAGAATTAGCCAAACTATCATCAACAAAAGTAGAGTGCCTAATCAACAGACCGATCAGTGAAGCAAGTTGAACACGCAAAGCAGATGCCTTGGATTGACGCAGCAATTTTACAAGCATGAGCATTATTGGCCCATTGGTCAAGATATTAGCTGCGTCAGCATTACTGCTTAACATCTCAAGGTACCTAATCACATTCTGTTTCTCTCCAATGCTGGTATTTCCATTCAAAATGGCTAATATTCGGTTGAGGACTGCCTCCAATTGCTCTTTAGGCATCTTGACAAAATCAGATGCTTGCAATGCCTCAAAAGGGAGAGAAGGAATGACTTCTAAGACTTTATCAACTTTTCTGCTAGGCATTACAGGTCTGACCGAGAGATCAGATGGATGCCAAAGAACCTGGGAAAGGTTGTTAGACAACCTTGAAGAATCAGATTCAAGGCCAGATCCTGAGTCTTCTTTAACTCCTCTATGTTTCTTTACCTGAGGACTCACGCTGGGAGAAATAGCGGATATGTCAGG